GAGCGAGGGAGCGAGGGAGCGAGGGAGCGAGGGAGCGAGGGAGCGAGGGAGGGAGTGAGCGAGTGGGTGAGTGAAAATTATGTGTACTTGTTGTTACTCCAACATTTTAAAACATGTGCTTTTGGAACTAAATAGCATACTATTTCGCCCCATGCAAATACATACACATGCACAGGCAAACATATATATACATATAAATCTTTCTCAAATGTGTGAGTAAATCGCATATTATCTAAAATATCTCGATTTATTATAAAAAATCGATTTGGAACGTTACAAGAATAAAATACAACATTTCAAGCGACTATAGCAAAAAGCTATCCATTTTTAAGCTTTATGCCTAAGGAAATTTGATCAGTAAGTCAAGAACTATAACATACTGTCGCGCACGCGACGGTCACGAATCGTAAGTCGCGTTATGCAGATGAGCCGCGCGCGGAATAACAACTCTTAATAAAAACTTGAGAACTTTATTAATAACAGAACAATTACAACACTGCGGACACACGTCCATCCGCCTCAAGTTTTCACGTAACAACAATCACTTTGACAATCGCTTCACAACCGCGTCGACAAGGAACGATCTTCAAATTAATAATCAATGTGACAGCCATTTTATTGTTATGACCGAGCGATGTGCCGAGCGGAACATCGCTCGGTCATAACAATGAAATTTCAGCCAATTTCACAGAAGGCCAAAAACACGTAGTTTCGCGAGGTCCTTTCTAAATCTAAAGAAATGTCAAATGTGACAGTTTGCCTATCATAACAGATGTATTATGTGATAATATTCTATCTATAATAATTTTATTGTTATTACCTGCATGTGCAAAATATTATATAAAAATTTATTCAAATAGTACAAGAATTTTGCTACTGTTGCATATGAATGTAATTTAGTATTGATAAGAGGCTATGGATATGTCCTTTCACCACAATATCGATCGTGGAGATTCGAGAGAATATATAATACATGTATATATGTATATTGTAATATATGTATATATGTGTATATTATTGTATTGTTGACGTGTTGTTCTAACACGTTATTGCGATAAATATCATCACATGCCTCTGTGATCGAAAGGCTAAGATATCCGGTAAGCAGGAAATCCAGGTTCTATTCCTGGCTGAAGTGATATTTTTCGCAAAATAATTACGAATTTTCACGATTGGTTCGTGATCGGGCTTCGCCGTGATGCACACCCTCCCTTCTTATCCTCTTTTTATAAAACTAAAATCAAGTATAATTATAAAGATAATAAAATGGAAATGGAATAATATCTTAAATTTACAGTCTGATACTGAATTTTTGCATATGCAAAAATTTTTTGCACGCATATGTTTCCATCGATTATCGAACAAGCATAAATTAATTTGCAAATTATTACAATAACTACTTAAAAATTTTATTTACAAAAATATACAGATATAATAAATAATTTTTTCATATCGCCGGTATATCGGTCGACTAGACTCATTTTTTAAAAACCAATTTCTTCGAAACTAAGGGCCATTAGCAAGAACGGTTGGACATCGTTTTTTTTCGCTCAAGAACAGTCTATATAAAATACATCAAAATATCCCGACCAGTCATCCGGTGTTCCCCTTGTGTTTTCTTATGCGCAACGAAAACTTTCTCTTTTTTTTGTAAGAATCACATCGAAACATTGCCAAACACCCTTTAATTCAGGGCAGAGACTTAACTTGACCAATTCGGAATGTTATTTATTTCATTTTTAAAAAGAGAAATAGCTTTTTGATTGAAAAATCACATTAAGCTTGAAACTTTTTTTTCCACACTTTTTTTTTACATCGTCTTTTTATCATACATACTAAAAACTAAAACTAACAGTTCGCAATCGATGAGTTGATGCTTATCGAAGATATCGCGTATAACGTTCGGGACTTCCTCGGGATTTGTTACAATAGATACGATGTTGGAGAATCGCGTATATTTTCACAACATCGATCGTATCGACGAGTTTGATTAGTCAATTGAATGTTACATTAATACATTCGGCGAGATTAAACATACGGTGTAACGTTGATTCGACCATCATCATGCGTACGTTTAAAAATTCAAGACGTACGAATGTAACGTCGTTCATCATGCAAACTCGAACTATTAATGGTCCGACGCTTATAAAATTGTCTTTGTAATTGTTTCGTAATTTGTAGATATTCCATCATTGCTGCTCATAGAGTCTCTTCCACGTTTCGAAAAACAGTATCAGTCCTGTCCTCGATGATCTCCTAAGGCGATCTCCACGTAACGCTCGGTGGACCAACATTGATTCCAATTTCCACAAACTTGAAGTCCATAACCGTCAGGGTGTAACATCTACTCAGTAAGCGCACCGCGCGATGCTCCATCGAAATACTGTGTAATGGAAATTAAGTACATAATATTGCGTAATTGCAAAAAAAAAAGAAAAAAAAATAGTCGACACTTACACGTTATGTTCCTTTTTTGTTTCACCATCGTACAATGCGCTGGCGGAGTACATGCGTGTGGACCGTTTGTACAATGAATGATGGAGGACCAATCACATCCGCGTAAATTTTGACATAGCAGAGCATAAATCACCTCTTTCAAAAGGAGGGGATGGAAAAGATCCAATGGCCTCGCTGAACGGCAGCACTCTACTACGGTAGTATTTCGTGAACAAGTGTTGGTCAAGAAAAAGACAAAGAATCATTCAAGTACAATTGCAGATCACATCGGGAACGAGTTTACTTTATAGTGACTATAAACAGAAAAAAGACAAAGGATCGCATTATCAATTAGTTATCAGATTTTCGTTTCAAAAAGACCAAATTAGCTGTATCAAAAAATATGTAAAGTGCCATGTAAAAAGAAAAATGTGAATAAAAAGTTTTACGCTTAAATTATAATACAATTTCTTTGTCATCGACGAGTCTGACTAGTCGATTGAACGTTATTGAAAAAAATGTATAGGATCGTTGGAATATTAAGTAATCATCATCATCAACGATAATGACGGAGAAAGAAATAAAAAGAAAACATTTTGTATATTATATATACGTTTATTTATGATTTGCCCATCAATTAAACAATTTGAATTTTGTTATTTTGTAACGCGCAATTAGTATAGTGATATCCACATCGTATAATATTATCAGCATTTGGATTGTTCAAAGAATCTATGTCTTCATAATCCGCATCCAGGGTCTCGATGTATACGCTCTTGCTCATCATCCAGAAGCAAGTTCCGCAATTCATTTTTCGTGTCCCTTGATGTATATGACGGCATCGTCGTCGTCGTCATCGTCGTCTTCTTTTGTAACATGCACAGTTTTCGTAATCAAACTCTTAGCTTTGCTGTGCGGAAACCGTTCCATCGTCCCATCGCAGTCTATGACGTACCCAGCGCGAGACTTGTCAGCACTTGCAAGGAAATGTTATGGTATAGGGCTTGCGAAAATGTAGTGGGAGAGAACGGTCCATTCTTTGAAAGCAGCAAATTTTTTATGACAAACTCCAACGAGGAAATCTTGCAGGTCTACGAATGTTGGCACAGACATGACTGTTATCGAGAAGACTGCGGTCGATTTTGATGTACCGTTTTGTTGTCTCTCTTATATACTAGCGCTGCAATTTATCATCTTGTAAACTACGTTGGACAGTGGATTATATTCAATCATGCGGTCATGTATGATGAGACAATAGGCGATAGTATTCGCTAGTATATTCTCTTTGAACTCAAATTCTAATCGCACATCTATGGTGGCGCTCTTGATGGACTCATTTTGCTGCGGACAATCAATGATTGCAACAAAAATTCGCAAAGATGATATAGTTGTGTAACGATTCGCGATATGGTATTTTATCAATTTGATAATAAGATGTACGGAAACGTAAATACATGTCATATAAGGTAGCATATCTATATTTGTCAAAGTCTAGATTCAGATCATCATATGAATAAAAGTCTGAGATTTAGATAAAGTTTTATGTTGGTCAATTTACAATTGTCGAAGAAATATTTATGTGCATTCATGTTATTTTTTCTGTCAGTCTGTACAGCAAAGATCGCGGCTTTTCGAGCTGAGTCGCAGTCTTGATAACCCAAGAATGTCTCGTCGGCAATACAGGGTATTCATACAGATCCCATGAAACTTATACTCAGAAAACTTATACTTAGATATCGTCGCAATATTGATATGTCGATATGTGCGCAATATTGATTTACTAATACTGCGTAATCGATCGATGAACCCGATCAGAACGCTGATCAAGCATCGAGTTTGTCTATCGCACAGAGTCATTCGGAGTCGAAATTGTAAGTCGTTCAGAATCAGAATCATAAGCTAATCGAAGTCGCGCGGAATATTAACAAAGTCCGTCGCCAAGTTCACGCGAGTCGTAATATCAGTATCTTAAGTGTCATACTCGGTTGTCGGCTGCCAGAGTTACGCGAGATGCGCTAAGCCGCCCGACGACATTCAACCATGTGTGAAAAATATAGCAAGTAAATTGTTAACTATTTGTGCCATTGTTAAAATAAATCAATCAAATTAAAGGAAAGTGTGTGTCAGTGATTTCAAGGAGAATTCTTTCACCCAACGATCCTGCTCGGAATTCCAACTCCTTAGGCTTGGCGAACCCGACTATCCCTAATAACCTTGTAGTTCATCCAGGATACAACAATATATATATATATACAAGGATATTACAAAGATTTCCGCCAATGTCCCCACGATAATGTCTCCATCGAATCTAGTACGATGTATCGTTTGTCATCGTACGGGCTCAAAGCAATTTTTGACTCGGACACCGTATACATTTTATGTATAATAGTTTTGATCTTACACATGATTGGCGACAAGTCATTTCGATTTCTTTGCTCAAACATCGCGTGTAATCATCAAAGTTATTGTTTGCGCTACAACATTATTCTTTACACCTTTTGCCTTTTTAGTATCCTTTTTGCCATCCACCTTTATTGCGTACATCTTCGTTCTGAGTCCGACAAATTTTGTCATTATCACACCGTTATTCTCATCCTTCATTAGACAGAGTACTTTTTTATTCGCGAGAGACATACCATATGCGTTATCCGTCGGATAATCGCTTGTGTCGACTCTAGCAATATCGCGTTTTGTCGTCTCGCAAATATCGTCGCACTCAATGTGATATATAAGACTGTGTCGGTGTACATAATTTTGCATTTGTCGCGATACAATACATATACTCGTAGTAACATATACTTGTGAAGGAATTCGTACAAGCAGAGTTTCGATATGTTTAGTATACACATAGTATACACACCACGTAAATCGGCTTGTTGAATTTTACTCCAAGTTTACGCAGTAAACGGCGATTAAATTTTCTAAAGATGCTGTGGCTGTGGAAATTTGGTTTCATGATCATTGTTTCCGCACCATATCGTCCGTCCTATTTTGTTACTAATTACATCGATGTGATTTCGAACATTTTCCATCCGTTTTGCCGAGTACCGCATTGTTCATCAATTTATAAAAATTTTTTTCGAAATCATTTTTCGCATACGTTCTAAATTGTGTATTCAGTTTGATGTAACCATGAAGCCAGGCGGATTGAGCAAATTGTAATTGTAATTTCGATCTGTGTATCTTTGCGATACGAAAACCGTGGCGCGTGGCTACTGCAGATTGCGGATGATGTATCGCTTATCACACACACATAGTGTCCCGAGAAGTTTATCCTGCCACATGCCAGATAGTTTATCGCGCGTCGGGCAGAAAGATAGGTCGGTCGTGTAGATGATGCAGTTACTCGAGAGTGAATCTGGAGCGATTGCGCTTGCATCAAAGTTCGCAATGTTTTCGACCCATCAAAATTCGGCATAAGATAGCGGTTGACACATCGCCTATTCGTACAGATTATTCACATCGTAATACATCAAGTACGACGACGGTTTCGACGGGTTGTTTCGACGAACGCATGTACTTGTTATTGGCTTGCGCCTATTTACTGGAACATTGACTGAGACCGCGTATATCACGCTCGATAAACATAACCATATCGATGTCGGTGACTCAAATTTTACGCGCGTGTATTTCAACATAGCGCCCCACGTGAAACCTGGCAAAGCATGGTAGCGCGGGATCGAAACTGTAACTTTGGATACAACTTTCGCGGAAATTTTCGAAAATGACATCGGTTTTCAAATATAGATTGCTGTACTCGCTTAGGATTTCAATCGGAAAACCGCTGCCTGACGTTCACGGCGTGCGCGTTTTCCGACACCGTGTCTCCTGAGATACTATAGAATGATTCGCGCCGTGATAGACATATGTCTTGCAACTTGTCCGTGCGATCCATGTATTCGTAGGGAAAGACACTATGCGTCAATAAATCAAAATCCTCGTTCGATAACATGGAAAATTCAAAACGTAAAATTTTTAATTTCTCTCTGCTTAAAAAAGATGCCAATTTATCGAGGCTTGTACTTAAAAATTTGTATGAATCGATGAATCGTAATTGTACGCAATTTCGCGAATCTGATTTCTCGGCGGCATCTTTAACGTTTGGTAAACGAAATATATTTTTCCTTAGTTATCAAGTACGTCAATCCTGCCTTTGTACGCTATGTATAGCTATTTCCATGATAACAAAGTGCCCGTCATAACCAGATAAATTGTGGAATACTACGGAAATACAGTGCGAGTCTTTGTAATTTAAATTGAAATTCGAATGCGCGGGACCATGTTAACGACCAGTAAGGCAATGATCGCGTACTCGCGTGTCATCCAGTGCAAATGATTTTTCGCAAATACACACGCGTCGCGCCATAGTAAGCCTCCCACTGTTCTTTCGACAACGTTTCCATGGGGATGTTCGCGGATGATTTTCGAGAGAATTTTTACACGCCAAGTCTTCGAGTTATTGCATGAACCATGCAGTCCTCACGCAGTCCGCGACGAAATTGATACGTTAATAACGCGTCGTCGTACGAGCATCGCACGTAGTATCCAACGTTATATACGTCATGCTGTTGATATGTGTACGACATGTCTTTTTTCTATGGTTCCATATTTCGCAGTATGCACTGCCAGATCTGCATAGATGATAAATGGAAGTCGTTCTTTTTTGCAATGGTTCTTGAACTCGAGCCATTTGTCGTCCTCGTTTGGCAATTGAATGACAGTCGTTCATCCGTTCGCAGTCCACCGTGTATGATTGCCATTTCTCGATTGAAATAATGCAGGCATCTGCAAGAAGAGAACATGATTCTTTTTAGCATTTAATAAAGAATTATAAAATATACAATTTGTTAAAATGTGTATACGTATCGGTCGCAAAAGTATTTCTTGCATTTCTTTCTGTTTATTTGCGAGCTCACGAGACGGGACAGGTTTTTGATGCACGCAAAGTGTCCCGCGTTGTCATCGCGCGGATTCTGCACATACAGTAAATTTACGTGTTTTTTCATCTTCCTTGTTGTTAATCGTATCGGGAGAATCTCCTTTCCCTTGAAGCCGTAAACGTTAATGAAGATGAAGTTGTAAATTTCAATTTTTCTTTTATTTGGTCGAATGTCTGGAAACTCAATATCTTGGAGATTCAAGACCGACGTGTAATGTAAGTACGATGATTTCCGATGTATGTGTATATCTTTCGACCGGATGCAGAGCTGCGACTACCACGCGAAACACGCATTGTTCGTTAATCGTATGTTGACCACCACTTGCTTCAACATAATTTGCCGCGATAACTTGATGTAACATGATCAACATAACATCCCGCGTGTAGAGAATTATGTTTATTCACATTTATAGTCAGATTGAGGATTCGCGACAGCATCCATCCACTGTCACGTTCCTGAAACTCTTCGAGCGATGCCACCGTGGGTTCGATGACATGCTGTTCGTATCATTCATGCACATTTGATTTGAAAAAGTTCACTATTTTTAGTGTTTATACTTTTATTGGCGCGTTTATCATCTGTCACAAACTCACCGTTGAATGCGGTGTTCACTTTCACACTATCATGTTTTTCTATA